CTTTGTGGCCTAGATGCACCAGGAAGACCCAAAGCTGAGCGTTGAGTAGAAAAATTAAGAAAACCCTCCAGCATGCCAGCCACCATCCTAAGCACAAGGTAAGACTAGAAGAATTTGAAATCTGTGTGCAGACATAACCATAACAATAACAAATCCCTAATTCACCCCAACTCCTTAGTCAATGGACTCAGTCTCCATACTAACAGCCTAGCAAAAGAGGCATGCCGTTTTCTAGACATAAAAACTGCTTACCTCAGACAATAAAAAAGGATATTTCAAAAATAAGAGGGGCGCCTGGGTGGCTTGGTAGGTTATGCGTCCGACTTTGGCTCAGGTCATGATCTCACGGCCCGTGAGTTCGAGCCCCGCGTCGGGCTCTGTGCTGACAGCTCAGATCCTGGAGCCTGTTTCAGATTCTGTGTCTCCCTCTCTCTCTGCCCTTCCCCTGTTCATGCTCTGTCTCTCTCTGTCTCAAAAATAAATAAACATTAAAGATTTTATTTTTTTTATTTATTTTTTTTTAATTTTATTTTTCAACGTTTATTTATTTTTGGGACAGAGAGAGACAGAGCATGAACGGGGGAGGAGCAGAGAGAGAGGGAGACACAGAATCGGAAACAGGCTCCAGGCTCTGAGCCATCAGCCCAGAGCCTGACGCGGGGCTCGAACTCACGGACCGTGAGATCGTGACCTGGCTGAAGTCGGACGCTCAACCGACTGCGCCACCCAGGCGCCCCATAAAGATTTTTAAAAAAAAATAAGAAAAGGCCAATCTCAGGAAATATAACAATTCTAAATTTGCATGAACCATATTACATAACTTAAAATATTTAAATGATAATTGACAGGAATAAAAGAAGAAATAGACAAATCCACAATCATAGTAGGAGAACCTTAACATCTTTTGCAAAAGCTGATAGGATAAATAGGCTAAAGTCAGTAAAGATGGAAAGGATTTGAAACACATAATTAGCACATGACCTAATTGACAGGTTAAGAATATCACACACACACACACACACACACACACACACACACACACATTTAAACAAGACACATTCTTTTAAAACGCATGTAGGAGCACCTGGGTGGCTCAGTCATGATCTTACAGTTAGTGAGTTTGAGCCCTGCGTCGAGCTCTGTGCTGACAGCTCAGAGGCTGGAGCCTGCTTCGGATTCTATGTCTTCCTCTCTCTCTGCTCCTCCCTCCCTCCCTCCCTCTCTTTCTCTCTCTCTCTCTCTCTCACTCTCTCCCTCAAAAATAAATAAACATTAAAAAAAATTAATGCATGTAGAACTCTTTTTTTTAATGACCACATGCCTGGTATAAACCCAGTCTCAAAATGTTAAAGTTTGAATCATTCAGAATATTATATAACCACTTAGAATAAAGCTACAAATTTAAAAATACGTATATAACTAGAAAATCCTCAGTTGCTTGGAAGGACAGCAATACACTTCTGAAGAACCTTGAGTCAAAGAAAGAATCACAGTGGAATTTATTTTCTTTAACCATAGCTGAATAATAGCAAAGTTAAAATACATCAAAATTTATGAGATACAGCTAATTATAGCCATAAATGCATAATTTAGACAGAAAAGGCAGGAAAATCAATAACCTAAGCTTGTACAGCATGTTCTGAAGCTAGTAAAGGAGCAAGCAGCAAGGTAAACCCCACCAAAGTAGAAAGAGCAGAGAAAATTAACAAAGATACAAACCAGTTCTTTGAAAAGCCTTGCCTAATTGATAGACTTCTATGAAAACTAATCAGCAAAAACAGAAGAAAGCACACATTGCTACTGTTGGAAATTAAAAGGAAAACAGACAGATATTGTACAGTCTATTGGCCGAATCTAGCCTACTACCTGTTTTCTAAAACTTAAAAAATTATTTTTGTAAGTAAAATTCTATTGGAAGACAGCCACACCCAGTCATTTATATCTGGTCTATGGCTGCTTTGTTGAATAGTTGCAACAGAGACCAGATTGACTCAACACATAAAACATTTTCTAGCTGCTCCTTTACACAAAGTTTGCCAAGCCTGTTATAAGGAATTATATTACATAAATTTGAAATGTGTAGAAAATCAAGGTGGCTCAGTCCGTTAAATGTCCAACTCTTGGTTTCAGCTCAGGTGATGATCTCATAGTTCATGAGTTCGAGCCCCACATCAGGATCTGCACTGACAGTGCACAGCCTGCTTGGGATTCTCTCTCTTTTCTCTCTCTGCCCTTCACCTGCTTCCCCCCCCCCCCCCCTCTGTCTCTCTCTGTCTTTCTCAAAATAAATGAACTTAAAAAACTTAAAATGTAGAGAAAATCAATAAATGCTTATAACGTAACAACTTACTAAAAGTGATCAATAAGAAATACAAAATTCTTATAGTTATATAGCTTTTAAGAAATTAAAACTCTAATTAAATTAAAATAAACTACCAGGGTCAGATAACTTTCAGACATTTAAGAAATAATATCAATCTCACTTTAATTACTTTACAGGAAATAGAAAAAAAACTGAAAATACTCCACAATAAATTCAAAACTGATGAGGACATTATAAGAAATAAAAATTAGAGGGGCGCCTGGGTGGCGCAGTCGGTTAAGCGTCCGACTTCAGCCAGGTCACGATCTCGCGGTCCGTGAGTTCGAGCCCCGCGTCAGGCTCTGGGCTGATGGCTCAGATCCTGGAGCCTGTTTCCGATTCTGTGTCTCCCTCTCTCTCTGCCCCTCCCCCGTTCATGCTCTGTCTCTCTCTGTCGCAAAAATAAATAAACGTTGAAAAAAAAATTAAAAAAAAAGAAATAAAAATTAGAAAAGATAGAGGAAAAAAATTTAAGCAAATATTAGTAAGTAATATCCAAGAATATATAAAAAGAATAATATAACCAAATTGGGTTCTTTCAAGAATGTGAGTTTGGTTCAATGTTTAAATATCAATCAATATAATTCACCACATTAACAGAATAAAAGCAAAAAAAATCATCTTATCACCTCAGTGGATTCAGAAAGACATTTGACAAAATTGAACATCATGAATGATTTTTATAAACCTCTTAGGAAACTAGGGATAGAAGGAATAACATTTAGCCTGATGAAGAAGGTCTGTTTAGTAAACCCTATGCAATTGTGACATGACAAACATTTTCCCTCTGAGCTTAAGAATGAGGCAGAAATACCCAATATCACAACTTCTTCAACATTGACTAGAAATTCTGGCCAGTGCAAATAGGCAAAATAAATAGTCAAGCAAACAAGCATCAAGAAGAAAAAACATAAGGACTGGAAAGGAACTGATAAAAGCATTGTATTCACAGATCACCTAATGGGGCATGTAGAACATCCAAAATAATCTACAATGATATCAATTAGAATTAATAAGTGAATTCATCATGATATACACAAGTGGACAATGATCTAAAAATAAATTCTGTCTATAAACTGTAGGGGCCAAGGGAAGACCACCCCAAAATGTGCCTCTTGGGCCTACTGATTATTTTAACTAAAAGTCACTTTAGAGAGAGCCTATGTAGGAAGGACATTCAGACCCTCCCCCCTGAGAGAAGGAATACATCCCCCATGAGAAAGGTACCCTCCCTGTAGCAGGAGACAAGGAGACACCCTTATCACCAGAGGTGGGAAATTTAGGGCAGAGGAGGCTGTATAACAACCCTTGTTACTTTTTTACTAATCTACCACCCCGGCCCAAAATCTGTTTAGAGTCCCTTATGAATTGAAGCTCCCAACATGAAGTTTTCTTTGTCCTGTCAATGCCTCACAGATTTATTGTCTCTTTGTCTAAAAGGTATAAAAACTGCCTGCATCAGTCATTTGCTTGGGTCTCAATTTCCTTCCTGGGCCTCTGTGCTCCTGTAAGAAAACTGTGGCTTCTTTTTTCCCCCTAATTATTTGACTCTTCTCAATTTAATTCCCAGTCCAGCTGCAAGACCTTGAGGGTTTGATACACATGTACATTGTGAAAGGATTCTCCCAATCAAGTTAATTAACACATCTCTGCCCTCACATATTTAACTTTTGCTTACTCTCTTATCAAATTCCAATGATACAATATAGTGTTTCAGCTGGAGTCACCATGTTACACACTAGATCCTTAGGCTTTACTCAACCTTATAACTGAAATGTTGGACGCTTTTACCAGACTCTCTTTTACCAGCGTCTCTTTTACCAGACGCTTTTACCTATTCCCCCACTCCCCAGGCCCTTGCAACCACTCTTCTACTTTCTGTTATCATGGGTATAAAAAAGTCTTTTTTTTTAATTCCACATATTAGTGATATCATGCAGTATTTATCTTTCTCTATTAGCTTACTTCGCTTAGCATTGAAGCAAAAATAAGTCTCATCCATGTTGTCACAGAGGGCAGGATTTCCTCCTCTTTAAAGCTTGAATAGTATTGGATTACATATACATTTTCTTTACCCAGTCCCCTGCCATAGTCAGCTTGTTTCTGTACCTCGGCTCTCGTGAATAATGAATGCTACAAGGAACATAGGAGAACACCTATCTCTTAGAAATAATGGGCTTATTTCCTTTGGATAGATAGATGTCCATGGGTACACATATACCAAAATAAATAGATGTACTAATGTTTCCCAAGTGATAAGATGATAAACAATTTCTAAATATTAAACATTGCATCATTTCGACCACTATGTAATTTTTCTTACAATTTGGTAGATTTCTAAAACTGCGTGAAAGAAAGGTGTTTGGGTTGTTTGGTTTCGTTTTTTTTCCCGATTTGAGGGACGACAAAGCTCAATCTCAGAGGGACTAAGTAACACAGCAGAATAGATTCCAACAGCAGAAAGCGTCTTGGCATGCCAACCCCACGTAAGACAATTCACACTCAATCCAGCTCACCTTGAGGATGAAATTTTGAATTTAAAGAGCACTTGAGAGTGGGAGAAGGGGAGAGGAGGAGACTAACTGTATTGTGATTGGATATAACCGACAAAGAGACTACAAAGAAGCAGAAGCGAGGATCTGTGTCCCACAGAAATGTGCTTTATTAATGAAGCATGGCAGCCTGGGGATGGGAGTAGGGCCCAGGGTGTGCACAGCACAGGGAGACAAGACACCCGTGGCCACAGGACAGAGCTGAGCTAGATCCCGCTGCTCTGGGTTTCCGGGCTCTAAGAAGCCAGCGCACTAGGGATGCTACGTGCTCGCCGCCTCCAGGAAAGAGAAGCCGACTCCAAAAAGCACGAGAAAAGCTGCAATCATCCAGCCTCTCTCATGCCCCGTGTCCTCCCAGGCAGAGCAAGCTGAAGCTGAAGGAAAAGCCGGTTGTTCCCCCAGGGGCATTTGGAGAAGAGAAGACAGCGCTGAGTCCGAGGAAGGCTCCCCAAAGAACCCAGGCGCCGCGACCCAGGTGGGCAGCCGAGCTGGCAGGGTTGAGGTGGCCACACGGCAGGACACTGCTGCATGGCTGAGGGGAGCACTTGGTTGGTGGGCACGTTGGTGGTGGGTAACCCTACAGGACCTTCTGCGGTGTAACCTGGAAGCGGCCCTTCCTGGGAGGGCAGGGAACGACCTAAGGGACAGGCAGGCCACTCCGGTTGGTAGGTGGCCCTTAGAACAAGTAAAAGGGACTTGCATAAGAGGCTTGTGTGCAGCCGCAGCAAGAGGGATGGATGGTCCCCGCCCCTGAAAGTTCACCTGCAGGGAGGCCTTGACCGGCTTCAGGGCGGGTGTTCTCAACACTGCATGGCATCTCAAGGCTGAGTCCTCGGAGCAGCCTTTGGGGGCAGGAAAGGAAGGCAGGACCCGGTTCCTGGGACAGGGGATGGGGTGAGGAGCCTCCGAAAGCCCGGGTCAAGCGGCAGTCACGGCTTTTTGCTGATGTTCCCCAACAGGCACAGCGCAGGACACTTTGGTGGTGGGTGTGGCCTAGGGCGCTGTGCTAATAGACGTGGTCCTAGGCGCTTCACTGGTGAGCAAGGCTCAGGGCAGTCAGGTGGACTCACGGCCGGTGGCTGGCAGGGCTGTTTGCATTGCTGCCGCTAGTAGGACTTCTTTCCTAGGTGCCCAGGAACCTGAAGGCACCGTGTGACAACGTTTACGTGGGATTCCTTTGCTTGCATAATAATCCACGGTGCTAATGCGCTTCAACACGATCCCTCCCTCACCAAGCACGTGCTCTGAACTCCTGCCACCGAATCGGTCCTTCTCTCTACTTCCCCGCTCTTCCCCTTATCCTGGTATTGGCACCTCCGTGGGCTTCTCTGCCGAGGTCGATCATTTCACATGCCTCTTTCCAGAGAGAGAAGTGCCTCTGTCCTTTAGCAAAAAAAAAAAAAAAAAAAAAAAAAAAGAGTGAATGGACACACTGCCACGTTGAGAAGGAAAGACCAAGTTGCTGCAATCCTGGCTAAGCCCACACAAGCAATTCCTAAACAGGCTCATCATCATAAGGAACAAAATGATGGTATACCCGCCTGTGGTTCAGAGGGATAATTGCCAGGCTGGGATTCTGCCTTCAAGAGGCCTACACATATATCCAGAACCCTTGCAACTGCAGCGGGAGATTCTCCTGTTAGCATAGACACAGCCAGCAGAGAATTCCCCTTCCTCAATTTCTCTCAATTCAACATTGCCCCGTAGGTGTTTTCCACATACATTTGAATGTAGTCCCCCAAAATGCTAAAATAAGAATGCCATTAACAGCACCTCCATGCTGGCAACTTCTGCCCCACGTTGAAGTAAAGAAATCAAGCATATATCAGTGGGTAACAACAGTTGTTTGTTTGTTTTCCTACTGTAATCCTCCAAAACAGGCACGACCTTCAGGAAATCAGACTCACCTGATATATGACATAGGTCAAATATCCTAAGAAATTAAAAAAAAAAAAAAAAAAAAAAAAAAAAAAAAAAGGTCGGCAGTGGAATGGCAGGGTACCCTTTATGGGACCTTGTTGTCCCTTCAACAAAGGCAGAGCATCACAAGACTGGCCTGTACCGGGCAGTCATTTCCCAACCACAGTGAACTTCTCCTGTAATTCCCACAGTGGTTTGTCCTACACGCTCTTTACGACTCACTTGTAGATGTACCCCATCTGAGAGTTTCAGTTCACGGTAGCCGCTGAAAAATGTGGGCAAGTCGCTAACTGGTCCAAAAGATTTTTCCTCCTGGCTGAGGATAGTATCACCTCATCCTTGTCCCCTTCCTTAGAGCCTTCCGTATTACAGAACTGGTTGGCCCCCTTTGTCATTCAGTTTTGTGTAGAGCCAATAGAAAATTTGCCTCTTAGAGCCTAGCAAACTGGTCATATCTCCATGCTCATTCTCAGACATACTCAAACATACTTCCTGCCTTAGTCATCGAAGGTTGCTGTGACAAAAATACCATACACAGAGTGGCTTGAACAGCAAATGTTTAGTTCTCACAGTTCTGGAGGTGGGGACGTCCAAGGTCCAGGTGCCGGCAGAGTTGGTGTCTGGTGGGAGCCCACTTCCTAGTGCCACTAGACTGCTGTCTTCTCTCTGTGTCCTCCCATGATGGAAGGGGTGAGGGGACTCTCCAGGGTCTGTTGTACAAGGGCACTGCTCTCATTCATGACCTAATCACTCACCTAAGGCCCCCTTCCTAATACCATCACATCGAGGGTTTGGATTCCAATATCTGAATTTGGGGTGTGTGTGTGGGGGGGGGGGGAGACACAAACATTTAATCTGTAGCACTTCCCCTCAGTGCAGACCCCACAGGCTTTTGAAAGATAATTAGGTAGTAATACAAATAAATCCATGCCCATAAGTGCAATAACGTAAATCAATGGACCAGTTCACCGAATGAAATAAATCATCTAACCTTGTCCAAGAAGACATAGATAACCTGAGTTACACTATGTCAACCAAAGAAATTGAATATGTAGCTAAAACAGCTAAAACCCTTGCAACAATGGCAGTCCAGGCACAGACAGGTTCATTGGCAGATTTTACCACACATTTAGAAAAATAAATCAATTCTACACAACATCTTTGGAAGAAAAGAAAAGGAGAGCATACCCTCCAACTCATTCTTACAAAGCCAGTACTGTCCTCATAACAAAAACAAAGACATTACAGGGAAAAACTGGCCAATATCTCTCCTGAACAAAGATGCAAAATTTCTCAACAAATATTAGCAAGTGAAAATCACCGATGTGTAAAAGTGTAATACAGCATGCCTCAGTGGGATCCATCCCGGTGGCCAAAGGCTGGCTTGACATTTACAAACCAATCCATGGAGCTCATCATAGGAGTAAACTAAAGAACAAAAACACAAAATCACCACGATATAAGGAGAAAGAGACATCTGGTGAAAGTCAACATCCATTTGTAAATTAAAAAGCATTCTCAACAAACTAGGAATCAAAGGTAACTTTCTCAACTTGATAAAAGTCATCTTTGAAATGCTTACAGCTAACATCATGTTTTAAAGGTGAAAATCGGACTGCTTCCCCCCTGGGATCAGGAACAAGGCAAAGTTTTCCTCTTTGGCCACTTGTATTAACATCCTACTGGAAGTCCCGGGCAGTGCGATAAAGCAGAAAATAAAGAAAAGGAATAGGAGGGAATAAACGGAAGAGATGGGGGAGTGGGATCTCCCAAAGACTACAATGTACCCACAAAGCTGTTCTCACACCCTCCAGTAGCTCTCAGGAGGGCTTTGAACAACTCTGCACCTAGGTGAAGGAGTGTTGTTAAAACAATCTGAGTAACCATGGTCAATGCTAGAAAGCAAATGCATCAGTTGGAAATAAGTAGGAATGTTAATTGTTACATCCTTTCCCTTTAATTGTATAATTTTCCCACATGTTTTCCAGGAGAAGTTTTCATTTATACTTATCGACACACATTGGGGTGCCTGGGTGACGGCTCAGTAGGTTAAGCCTCTGACTCTTGGTTTCCACTCAGGTCATGATCTCATGGTCTGAGAGACTGAGCCCTGCATCTGGCTCTGTGCTGACAGGGCAGAGCCTGCTTGGGGATTCTCTCTCTCCCTTCCCCACTGGCTTTCTCTCTGTCTCAAAATACATAAATAAACATTAAAAAATTAACAAAAGAACAAAAACACTGGGAAGTCAGACAACTCAAGGTACTGATTTCAGGGGAGAACCCAAAGAAACACAGATTTCAACCTTGTGTGGACTCTCAAAAACAAATCAAGTGAGCAAACAAAGCAAAAAACAGACCCGAAAAGACAGACAACTGGTGGTTGCCAGAGGGGAGGGCACTAGGGGGAAGGGAAAAGTGGGTGAGGGGAGCAGGGTGGTCCCGTTCTTCCAGTTCCGGAATGAGTAAGTCACAGGGAGGAAAAGCACAGCCAAGGGAGTCTAGTGGATGGCACTGCAGTGGGGCTGGACGCGTGGTGACAGACCACAACCACACTGGTGGCTAGCCACTGCAGTGGGGCCACATGCGTGGTGACAGACCACAACCACACTTGTGAGCTGAGCATAACAGGTAGAGGAGTTGTTGAGTCTCCGGTATCAATGCAAATTGAACAAACCTTTTAGAATCTCCTCAAGTAAGAAAGAGTTTTATTTGAGCCCGAGTTTGTACAGCTGCCCAGGAAACACGACCTTCATAGGGAAGAAAGTGATTTGAGGAACGAACACTTTTGCAGGGTTATATACTTTCTTACATCTTGTAAAAGGGAAAAAGATATAGATTAGCACATGGGCAGAAATCCCGAGTTCCCCAGGAAACAGGGGCATTGATTCATATCTCAAGGACAAGATGGTTTACCCTGAGGCTATGCATGCGCCAAGCACGTGCACAAAGCCAGCCTAGTGGTCTTAAGTCAGGATTGCGGTTTGGACAGAGTTTATACACAGTCCTGTGGACTTGGAAGGAAATCCCTTCTCTCATCACTATGTTGTATACCTGAAAACCTATGTAACATTGTGTGTCAACTATACTTCAAATTAAAAAAATAAAATCAAGGTTTTTTTTGCACCTGATTGTGAGATTCACAAGAGTACGTTGGAAAAAATGAGGCGAGAGGATCTCTGTACTTACAGGAACCCTTCCATCTTCCCCCACTGCTTCTCTGACTTGAAAAAGAATCTGTGGGGGACCCCACGGCAGCAGAGCTCAGAACAGCAGTGTCGAGGTGGCAGAGCGTGGGCAACCCACGGTATGGATGTTGAGAGCAGGTCCCGGGGGGCATGGCAGTGAGGGGTTAGGGGTAGAAATGTGAGAAACCCTGTTCCCTATGTTAACACTGACTCCCTATCGTCCTCACTCAGGTCATAGGCTGATGCTGCCGGGTAGACTGGGGAGACTTCCAGGCCCTGGGGCCTGTCCCTGGGTATGTCACCGGAGGGTCTTAGTCTCATCCCTGAAAAGAATTCACAGACAGTGGTTGAGCTGAGCGGTGCAAGTGAAGAGCTTCTGGGAGAGAAGGTGCACTCCAGAGATGGGAGAGTGGGCAGGTCAAGGGAGACCTGTGCACCCCAGAGTTTGACAGTAGTTAACTAGGGGATGGGCTCTTCACTACCTGGGGGGGGGGGGGATTTTCGGGGGGGGGGCAAGTTTTCAAGCCTTTCCTCCCTTATGTCAGGGTCTCTGGCCTCCTTTGTCGCAGGCCTGTCTGCTTTGATCCGGTTTCTGGTGTCCTTGTATGTGGGGTGCTGCCAGGACGGGCTGCTGAGGTTCCTGATAACAGGCTCTGACTCCCCCTTTGCTGGACGCCATGCATCCTGGTAAAGCCTAACTAGGTGCTTGCTCTAACACTGACACTGATTATAAAATGGGAACTGCTCCTGGTTGAAAGTCCCGTGTGCAGGAACTATGCTGGACACATGACACACATTATCCCATTTGATGTGGTGATTAAAAGAAAGTTAGATGTGAGCCTCAACAATACAAAGTAACTATCAGCGTCCGGTGGTGGTCTCATCTACCTTCAAAACCCCACAACTTGGAGCATTTCACGTAGACTCATGTACCTCTACACTCCAGCATCCCCTGGGCATATGGTCCTCAGCAGGAACAGCTCTGTGAGCCACGAGAAACCATAGATTTAATATTGAAGATGAACTGGTTAAATTTCCTTTCAAGGTGGACAAACGTCTTACCTGTTAGCAGTTACAAAGAAGCTTCCATGTTCG